TCAGTGCTGTGAGGAGAAGCAGAGATGGGGCCTGGCATTGCTCAGCTGCCAGGGAGGGGAAAACAGCCGTGCCTGGAGCCCTCTGAGAGCCGGGGGGGGACACAACGCAGGGTGGAGAGGAGACTGCTCCGCTTCCCTCCCGCAGGACTGAGGCTGTTCAGAGCTGGGGTTTCGCTTTCCCTATGATCTCCAAGCTGGCCCAGGTGGCCCCTGTCGCCCCTGGGAGCGTGGGGAAGGCAGGGTGAGAGGGTTTTGTCCCGATTCACACGAGCAGAGCCCCCCGTGCCCCGTCCCTGCCCCTGGGGGGGCTTTGCCCTCCGGTCTCTGTTTCCCAGAGGGGTGGGAAGGTACTGAAAACCACAGGAAGGGAAACACCAGCGGGGTTTCAGTGCTGGGCAGCTGGGAAAGCTGCTGGGAAGCGGGTCCTGCTGTCCCAGCCTTTCCTGCTCCGTTCCCTGCCCGGCCCCCAGTGCTGGCTGGCACTGCCCCTGTGCCCAGGGCTCTGCAAAGCCTTTCCCTCCCCAGCTGAAGGCTCTTTTCTGGAAGCTTTTACAAGGTCCATCTGCACAGGATAGTGTTGTTACAGCTTCCTCTCCTGTGCTGGTGGGGCTTTATTTTCATGTTATTCATTATTGTGTTATTTTATTGGTTATTTCTGTTCTGCAAGAGCAGCTCTGCTCAGCCCGGCTCCTGGAGGCCGGAGCAGTGCCTGGGATGTGGGATGCCCACTGTGCCAGGCTCCAGGAAGGATCTCCAGCCTGGTTTTCCCCCCTGTTTCAGGCTCTCTCCAGCCCCCTTTGACCTCATTCCTGCTGTAAGGAAGGCCAGAAAAACAGGGTTCCTGCCCCTGGAGCAGCACAAATCTCTGGGAGAGTTGGGGAATCTCTGCCCTGAGTTCCTCGAGGCCTCTCCTCTTGCCCTTTCTGATGGTTTCCCCCCCTCTCCCTGCAGCCCTTCGGGGAGTGGTGCAACCTGCAGCCCAAAGATGCTGCCAAGATGCCTGAGAGTGCCTGGAAGCTGCTTTTCTACTCGTTATCCTGGTCCTACGGCGCCTACCTGCTCTTCTTCACCGACTACCCCTTCTTCCACGACCCCCCATCCGTCTTTTACGGTACAGTCAGAGCCGGGGGGGGATTGGGATTGGGATTGGGAGCTGGGGTGGGTGAGAGAAGGAGAAGACAACCCCTAAATTTCCTGTTTCCTGATGCTGTGGGTGCAGAGAGGGCACAAGGGGCTGGCTCTGACCGTTCCTTTCACAGAGAGTCAGTAGGGGCTGGAGGGGGTCAAGCAGATTAATCAGGAGGGAATCGAGTCGTGGGATGGTTTTGGGGTGGAAGGGGTCTTGAGGATCACCCCCTGCCCTGGGCAGGGACACCAAATCAAGGCTTCTCTCTTGGGGGTTTGATGCCAGGGGCAGAGTTTGGGGGGCCAGGGTTGCTGTACCCCCCATCCAAGCCCTGGATGAGCCGGGAGGGACCTGTGGCCCCCGAGCCCTGTGGGGGCTCCCCGGGGTCTGCACCCCAGAGGCTCTGGGGGTCACCTGGGCATCCCTGTGCCCCCCTCCCCAGGCTGGAAGAAGGGCATGGACGTGCCCACGGACATCGCCATCGCCTACCTGCTGCAGTGCAGCTTCTACGGCCACTCCATCTACGCCACGGCCTACATGGACACGTGGCGCAAGGACTCGGTGGTGATGCTGCTGCACCACGTGGTGACCCTCACCCTCATCGCCTCCTCCTACGCCTTCAGGTGAGGCCCCTCTGCCCGGCTGGGCCCGGGGCAGCACAGCCTGTGGGAATATCACGGGCACAGGGAGGGTTTGGGGGTGGATTCGCCCCTTCCTGCCCCTCCCTGAGCCGTCCCAGGGCTCCTGAGCCCTCCTCTGAACTGCTCGGGGGGTTTGCTCCCAGTGTGATGATGGACTCAGAGCTTGCTGTGGGTTCTCCCCTTCCTCCACCCCGCTGAGCCATCCCAGAGCCCCCCAGCCCCTGCACCCGTGTCTGGCTCTCTGGGCTGCTCAGGGACTCTGTGGTGGACTCAGAACTGGGTTGGTGTGGATTCTCCCCTTCCTCCACCTTCCTGAGCCATCCCAGAGCTCCCCAGCCCCTGCACCCACCCCTGACTGCCCGGACTGCCCCTGGAACCTGCCCCCACTGAGATGGGACTGCCAAACCCACCCCCTGCCCACCCCTCCCACCGTCCCCCTCCCTTTTGCCCCTCAGGTACCACAACGTGGGCATCCTGGTGCTGTTCCTGCACGACATCAATGACGTGCAGCTGGAGTTCACCAAGCTCAACGTCTACTTCAAGCACCGGGGGGGGGTCTATCACCGGCTCAACGACGTCATCTCCAACGTGGGCTGCCTCACCTTCAGCGTCAGCTGGTGGGTTTGGCCCCCCCCCTGGCCCCGCTCCCAACCCCCCTGCCCAGTTTTTGGTATCCCCCTCAGCACCACGGGGCCCTTCCCGAGTGGGTTTGGGAAGAGGTTCCCGCAGAGCTCGGCCCCATGCTGGGCTTGGAATCCCTCTGTAGTCACTTGGCTGGGCATGGAATCCCTCTGTAGTCACCCTGGCCGTCTGTCACCACCCAAGTGCCTGTGAAATTTGTGCTCCCAGCTGTGACAAATGACCCCGGGGGAGGAGGAGCTGCTTCCACTTTTCCTGCTTGCAGGGCTTGAGCAGCAAGGAGCTGTTGTTACCAGCAGGAAAAGGGAGGTTCAGGCTGTCCCAGATTCCCAGCCTTGCTGCTCCTCCTGGGGCAAGGCAGGAGGGAAACAGAGGGATGAAGGGTGGGGATGAGCAACTTGCAGGTTGTTTCGGCCCTGGGCTGCTCCAAAAAGCAACGAGAGGCTCATTTTGGGGGAAGGTTTTTGGGGATAAACTATAAACTGGAAACCCACCCTGCTTCTCTGCCCTGGCAGGTTCTGGTTCCGCCTCTACTGGTTCCCCCTCAAGGTGCTCTATGCCACCTGCTACTCCAGCCTCCAGGTGGTCCCAAACATCCCCTTCTACTTCTTCTTCAACGCTCTGCTCCTCATCCTCACCCTGATGAACATCTACTGGTTCCTGGTGAGTGTGGGGAGCTCGGCCACCCCCTCACTTGCTGCTCCCTCCCCGCTGCCCCTGCTGCCTGCCCGGGGGCTGCAGGGCTGGAGGAGGCTTTGGAAGGGAGGAGGGAAGGCCTGGGGGGCTCCAGTGCTGGAATTCCGAGGTCTCACACTCCAGGGATCCGTGGGGAGGGAGAGATGACAGCGACTGGGACAGGCTGGAGTTCCATGGGGGGGTGAATGTCCTGGCATCCCCCCTCCAAGCTTTGGGGAGGGTGTGGAAAGGAGGGATGTGGAGGGGATCACATCAGGCAGAGCCTGATTCCATCAGCCCTGATTCCATCATCCCTGACTCCATCAGCCCTGATTCCATCAGCCCTGATTCCATCATCCCTGACTCCATCAGCCCTGATTCCATCATCCCTGACTCCACCATCCCTGACTCCACCATCCCGCGGGATGAGATCAGGGGAAGGGGAGCTGCAGGGAATTCTGCCCTGGGTCTGAGCCACATCCAGGGAGGGGGAAGAGCTCCAAACCTTTGGGATCTGTGTCTGAGGGTGTCTTTTCCCTCCCCAGTACATCGTCCTGTTCGTGGCCAAGGTGCTGATGGGGCAGATGCAGGAGGTGAACGACGTGCGCGAGTACGACGTGGAGGACACCGGGAAAGCCGCCAGGGCCAGGAAGAAGGAGGCTGGAATCCAACTGCCCAAGGCTCTGAAGGAAGGGTGCGTGGGCAGGGGGGTGGCACCCAGGGCCGTGGAAGGGTTTGGGTGGGAAGGAACGTGGAGATCACCCAGTGCCACCTCCCACCGTCCCAGGGTGCTCCAAGCTGGCCTTGGACGCTTCCAGGGGTGACACACACGCAGCTCCCGTGGATGAGGGGAAGCTGCTGTCTCAGGGCTCACCCCCGGGCTGGGAGATGGGTGTAAAACATCACTGCAGGTGCCAGGAAGGACTTTTAAATCCATTCCTGGGCCCTGTGGGGTGCCCGCCCGTCTTTGCCCTGTGGATCCTCACCCAGCCCTTCCCACCTGGGCCTGGCTCTGGGCGTGGGGCTGCCCCTCTGAGCAGCATCTTGGGGTGCTGATCCCACAGAGCAGCTCTGGCTGAGCGGGGATGAACGGGACGATCCTGCTGGGATGGGGTGGGACAGGGGTGTGGGGACCGGACCCACCGAGTGCTCTGCTCCCTCCCCAGGCTGCACCTCAAGAACGGGCTCGTGAAGGACAAGAGGTTGTGAGGGCGGCGTGGCCGTGGCAGCTGCCAGGACCTGGGACTGACCAGGACCCTGCCCTCGGAGCCAGCGCAGGAAAGGCCCAAGGAGAACTCCATCCCTGCCCCCCTTCCCTCCCCTGCCCGGAGCCGGGGAGCAGATGCCACTGACAGGACCAGACACCCCCCCCGGGGCTGTCACCAGGCTTCACCTGATGCTGGGGGGGCTTCCTGTGGCCCCCCCTCAGTTGGGAGGCTGGGCTGGGCCAGGCAGGATTTGGAGCTGGCTTTGGGTCCCCTGGTGTCGCTGCTGTCGCTCCGTCCCTCGGCCCTTCTCGGTCCCGCCGTGATTCCCCCTGAGCCCCCTTGTTGGACCCTCCCAGCCACCCTTCCCCAGCACCCCCTGAAGGGCCTGGTGTCAAACTGAGGGGGTGGAAACACCCTCTCCTCCCCTGGGAAGGGCAGCCCAAAGCCAGCCCTGCTCCAGCTGCCAAGGGGGGACTGGTGAGGTGATGAAGGGCCCTCCGTGGGCTGCCCACCCATGTCTGGGGCACACATGCTCCCCACGAGCAGCTCTGCCTGGAAAACCAGCCCTGGAGTGTTATTCCAGCCCCCCTGTCCTGCCAGGTGGGGGCCAGGAGACTTAATTTGCTTCAAAAGCCTGTGTAGGTCTTGGAGTCGCTTCAGAAACCAGTCCCGGTCCCTGCCGAGGGTCCTGGACCCTCCCCCAGCACTGCCCACTTGCTCCAAGAGTTCCTGTTGCTCCCTGTGTTGGTTTTCCAGGCAGCTCCAGCCTTGGAGGGTCCCCAAGCAGTGGATTCAGGGTGTTAATTCCGTGGTTAATTGCTGGGTTGATGTTTCCATGGTTGGTCTGCGGGGTGGGTTCAGCTCCAGGCTCGTGGTGTGAGCCAGGGTGGGACGTTCCTGGCTGGGGTTGGTGGGGACTGTGCCAGGCTGGGGCAGGACCCATCATCTTCTCACTCACCTGGGCAGTGCCAGAGGGGTGGCAGTGCCAGGGGGCTTCTTTGGTTTTTCCAGGGGGATTTGCAGGAAATGAGGGGAGCTGCTGTCCCAGGATGGGCCTGAGCAGGGCAGGGTTGGGGGTAGGAGGGTCCCTGGTCCCCACGTGGGGGGATAAACTCGATTTTGCAGTGTTGGCTTTGAGCTGGTGGCTCCTTGGCCACGTTTTTGGGGGGGTGGTGTGTCCTGAGGGCAGGGTGAAGCAAGACTTGGATGGTTTGATATGCCAGAAGTTGATGGCCTTGAGAGAGAAGCGTTGGGTGCTGTGATGATGTCAAAAAGAGCTGATTTTGGGTGGGGGGGAGGAAGGGGAGACCCAGCTCTGTGTCTGCCCCTGGATCCAGAGGGGGGAAAAATGTCTGCAGCACTTGGGGCTTCCCAGCAGCTTCGTGTGGGAAGAGCAGCCCCTTCTCTGCCACCAGGGATGATTTTTGTGTGGGAAGAGAAGAGCAGCCCCTTTCCCTGCCATCACAGACATTGTCATTGGACCTCGAGGGAGTGGAGATGTGGGAGAGGCCGTGGGAGCAGCACCAAAGGGTTAAGAAGCCCCGGGGAGCCTGGAGGGACTCACACCCCTCTGCCCAATCCCGGGAATCCCTCTGTGCTAATTGAGCACTAAAGCAGATCAAAGGCTCCAATCAGGCAATCAACACCCCCCTGGCCCGGTGTGTCCAGGCCCCCAGCCCGGGCTGCTGCTGCTCTTTGTCTGGAGAAGGAGAGCAGAGGATGTGGTGGCTTCTCCCCAGCCTGGCCTGGGCTCTCCTGGGCCCCGTCCTGGGGACGGAGCCGAGCGTGCAGGAGAGTTTGCTGTTGAAATCCTTGGGCCTGAGCGCCAAGCCCAGCCCGAAAAGCCCTGTCCCGGTGCCTCCCGTGCTCTGGAGGATCTTCCAGAAGAGGAAGACGCCGCCCCCGGCAGACAAAGAGCCCCTGGACGCCTGTAGGGTGGAGGAATTCAATGTCCCCGGCAACATCATCCGCGTCCTGGCCGACCAAGGGACAGACCAAGGTACAGACACGCCGTGGGTCGGGGCTTTTGGAGGCTCCTCATTCCCTGGGATGGGAGGCTTTGCCTCATTCCTTCCTTTCCTTGAGGCTGAGGGGGGACAGAGCAGTGCCCAGGGCTGGTTCCCAGGAGGGATCCCTGCTGTGTGGTCCCTGTGGGTGCAGCAGGGGATTATTCACAGTTTGGGGGTGAGGGTGTCGGGGCTGTGTCAGGCTCTGTCCTGGAACCCTCTAAAGCCACCCAGAGGTGCTGGTTGGGTCCCAGGTGACTGGATTGGCCTGTTGGGCTCACGGTGGTGGAGGTGGCTCCTCACCAGGGGGAAAAATAACCCGTCGAGCTGTGAAGCAGCAGCCAGAGGAGATGCTGGAGTGGCTGCAGCATCCCAGTGCCACAGGCTGGAGCCCAGCTTGTGCCTCCAGCCCTTCCTGAAGGCCCTGCCAGGGGGCTGATCGCCCTCATCATCCCCATCCACCTCTGCCAGCCCCGTCTTCCTCTTGCTGTGCATCCAAGGGCTGGAATCGGAGCCCAGCCCAAGGGTCCAACCACCCCCACCTCTATTTCTCCTTCTTTTGTCAGGCCCCTTCATCGCCGAGGAGCAGCCCCAGGGGTGGCTGTGCCTGCGGAAGCGCCTGCTCTTCAACCTCTCGGTGCTGGAGGAGGGCGAGCGCTTGACCATGGCCCGGCTGGAGATCAAATTCCACCACAATTCCTACCACCCTTCCCGCCAGGGGCAGGCCTTGGAGCTGAGGCTCCTCCGGGCCCCCCAGACATCCCTGCCAGGGGTGCCCCAGCGCAGGCAGAGGCTGCTGCTGGAACAGTCCTTGGCTCAGCTGCACAAGTCTCTGCTCTTCGAGCTGAGTGTGGCAGCGCAGGCCGGGCGGGCGAGCGGCGGGAGCTTGGGATTGACCCTGGAGATCTCGGCGGGCGAGGGGGCCCCGAGGAGCCCCTGCTCCGGCGTGGACTCCTTCCTGGACGCCTCCCTGCTGGTGGTGACCCTGAGCCCGCAGTGCCAGGCCCCTCAGAGGAGGAGGAGGAGGAGGAGTGCCCTTCACCCCCCGCTCGCCCCCAGCAACCTGTGCAGGGCGCGGCGGCTCCACATCAGCTTCAGCGACGTGGGCTGGGAGAACTGGATCATCGCCCCCCAGGGCTACCTGGCCAACTACTGCCGGGGGGAGTGCCCCTTCCCGCTGACGGCCGAGCTCAACAGCACCAACCACGCCGTGCTGCAGACCATGGTGCACTCGCTGGACCCCCAGGGCACCCCCCAGCCCTGCTGCGTCCCCGTCAGGCTTTCCCCCATCTCCATCCTCTACTACGACAACAGCGACAACGTGGTGCTGCGGCACTACGAGGACATGGTGGTGGACGAGTGTGGCTGCAGGTAGAGGAGGAGCAGGGGGGGTGAGGGGTGGGGGGAACAAAACCCCGTGCTGGTGTTTTGGGGAGTTTCCCGTCGGGGGGTGCTGGGAGAGCTCTTTGGGGTGGCGCGAAGGGGTCGTGGCTGGAGCTGTGGTTTAGGGCTGGAGTTGTGATTTAGGGCTGGAGTTGTGATTTAGGGCTGGAGTTGTGGTTTAGGACTACCTGGGTGCTGGGATGGGATTATGATCAAGGCTGGTGCTGGTTGCCCGTCCCCTGCTCCACAGGGGTGGTGGCACCAGGCTGTGAATCCCAGACCCGCCCCGAGCCGCTGGTGCTTCAGGCTCCTCAGCTTGGCACCTTTCTGGGGGCACAAAGGGGTTTTGGGGGTGAAATGGGGCTGTGAGGGGAGGAGGACAGAGGGATGGTATGGGGGCACAAGCTCTGTGTGACCAAATCCAGGACTGGTGTGGGACACAGGTGGGTTTCTGTGCTGGGGGAGCTCAGTCCTGAGCTCTTTAACGCTGTGATGGGGTGCTTTGGGAGGGCAGGGGTTACGTGGCCTGGGGGTGCTGGGTGGGCCCAATGCAAGGGAGGTTTTGCCCCCCCAAAAACCCCCCTGGGAGCTGCAGGATGGATGTTGTGGCCGAGGAGGGGGGGCTGTGGTGGAGGGTGGGAATGGGCAGGGGGTCGGTGGCATCTTCTCCCCTCAAGTCAGTATTAATTTACCTCATTTGCAAATGGATGAGCCCAGCATGACCTCTGTCCCCGGGTGTCCCTCTGTCCCCGGGTGTCCCTCTGTCCCCGTGTCCCCCCCAGGTGGCAGCCGAGCACCAGGCACGGGCAGAGCTCTCAGGCCCTTGCGCATTTTAGGGTTGTTTTCGGCTCATTTGTCGCTCTCCGTGTGGGCCCCAGGCCCCTGCAGTGGTATTTACTGCCCCTAACGAGCAGCCCCGGGCAGCAGGGACCCAAACCTGCCCCATCTTCCCCTCATTGACCACTTTCCTTCCGCTTCCCAGCGCGTGGGCTCCGAGTTTTGCAGCAGCTCGAGGTTTAAATCCTGAAGTGTTTGTGTGTGTTTTAAAAGCCACCTCCAGCCCTTCAGGTGGGGCTTTGCTGACACCACTTTTGGGGTTGTTTGCTGGGTTTTTTTGTAGGGTTAAAAGGGGTGGGAACAGAACAGGAATCCGAGTTAGACTTGAATTTTTGCTCTTTTTTTGTTAACTGTGAACCTGCCCCCGTGGCCTGCCTTTCCTTTCCTTTGCTGTTTCTGTACCGATGTTGTGTCTTCGAGGTCTGATGAAGTTTTTAGCACCTCCCTTTCCTCCCCCCGGGAGAAGCACTGAGGGTTTAACCACTGGGGGGGGGGGTCCCTGTGATGGTGTTTGGTTTTTTTTGCTTAACAACACCCCCTAAAATGTGCAGCTGAAGACCAAGACTGGAGCAGCTCGAGTACTTTTAGGTGTAGCTTTACTAACCTTTTCCCACCCAAAGGGGTTTCCTGAGAGCTTCCAGGGCCAGCCCAGCCCTGCTCTGCTCCAGCTGAACCCATTTCAGCCACTGGAGATGTTCTAATAAGGGCTTAGAGTAGGGCTGAACTCCGGGGACTCAAATCCCAGGTTTAGGATCAAGAGTTAAAAACAAAAAAACCTTCAAGTATTAATTGTTCTGTACCTGTGCTGGGGCCAGGAGGGGACTCCAACACCATGAAGGGCAAATGTCCCTCTCCTGCAGCCAGGCAGCCACTGGAGTCACCCTGGAGGAGCTGCAAGGAGTTTATGCACAGCACAGGGTGGTGCCAAGACCTGGCCTAAGCCCCCCTCCCAGGGTGGTCCCAGGAGCCCCCCCAGCCCTGGGACAGGTAAAAGCCATGTCCATGTTTACTGCAGAGCAGGGGCAGCTTCCAGGCTGGACTGGGCCCCTCCAGCTCCAGCCTTTCCCAAATCCTGGGGCTCCCACCCTGCATCACAACCCCCCCATCCCCAGGGCAGAGGGTTGGGGCATTTACCAGTTTTCCCAGTTGAGTTTCTCCCCCTTCCCTCCCCCATGCTATGCACACCCCCCCCCCAACACTTTTGTACTAGTCTGTGTTTAAAAAAAAAGTAATAAACTTGAAGTTTATACAATCAGACTAAGCTTTAATGAACGTTGCATGGTTTCCTCATTGAAACTTAAGGGGCCACCTTGAATGCAAGAGCTGTTTATTTTCATATTTTATTTGATGACAAACAGGTTTTAAAACAAACTGAGACAGAAAAAAAAAAAGGAAAAAACAGAAAAGAAAAATCGAAAAAGAGTTTTTTTTTTTCTTTTTAAACACCGTGCTAGCACTGATGTCTGGATTTGTAAAACTCATGAGTTTTAACTGCTACAAAGGAAAAAACCAGCACAAAGCAGAGGCCAAGCATTCCCAGCAGTGAAATAAAGGGGTTCAGGGAGAGGAAAGGGGGTGGGAGGGGGGGCTACATTACTCATGGATAGCGTTGCACAGAGGGGTTCCAGCTCAAACCTATCAGAAAAAGTCTACGCCAGCTACGCAGCCTACGGAAGGAAAACAAAAAAATAATTAAAAAGCCCTTCGGCAAATGTTAATAAATAAAACAGTCCATCTCACAAGGAAGGAAGGTGGCCTGTGTCTCCATTCTTTCACGTTTGTTTGTTTGTTTTTTTTTTTTTAGAAGTCTAAACTCTGGAGGCTGTTGATGAGAAAAAGAATGGGGGTTTTGGTGGGTGGGTTTGGGTGGTGTTTGGAGTTCTGGGGCCCAGAGGACAAGGCTGTGTCCTGGGATGGTGTGCACGGGCTGGGGGGGGGCACACCAGGGCTGCCCTGGGCTGGGGGAGGCACTCTGGGGGCAACTACAGCAACAACAGGTCATGAAAGAGGGGCAACAATCTACAGGAAGGACAGGAATGAAAGGGCTGCCCCCCCCAGGTACAAAAAAGTGGGGTCCAAGTACATTCGTATGAGAGGTATTTTTGAGCTCCCCTCCCCCCCCAAAAAAAAACAGAAGAAAAAAGACTAGAAACACTTGGAGCCCTTTAAGTATAAAGCTAACTTAACTCCAACTTGAAAAACACCCAGGTTAGTGGATCACTCTCTACTGCTCTTGGCCAATTGGGAGGTAGAGGTCAGTCTAATTTAGGGATCTGGTCAAAACGGGTCTCTGTAGGAATTGCTGCTTCTAGAAAGGGTTTAGACAGAAATAAAACGCTCCCAGTGTTCCCATACACGACTCGTTAAGACATGGGTACCACTCAGAAATTGGATGGCTTCTCTTTTGCGTGCTGTTCTCAGTCCTGACTTCCCAGCCAGCACGGATGGCACGGCCGCATCCAACTGCCTGAACAAAAAGAGCTGCTCCGGGTTCGCTTTTGCCAGCGCCTGGCTCTGCCACCTCCCTGCTCTCTCCTCGCCCAAGAAGCCACGCCAAAATAAAAAAAAAAACCAGCCTGACCCATTATCTCTGATCAAACCCAGCTCCTCAGAGGCCACCTTCCACCAACTGCCTGCTCTGCCCGTGGGTCCCCACCTGGAGAGACGTGGAGCCTTTCCCTCGGAACCAACGTTATCCATCCCCGGTTCCCGCTACTTCCTCTCCCCCGAATCCGCGGCAGTAAAAGCAGGTCTGTTTTTTTGCATCTCCCCTCCGGGGGCCGAAGGGCACAGGAAACCCCAGCCCCCTTTTTCAAGCGCAAAGTTCATCATCTGACAGAAAGGCTTGTGGTTTTTTTTGTTTGTTTGTTTGTTTGTGTGTGTGTGTCACAGAGTAGAGTCCAGACAGTAGCCAATTGAAGCATAGAGAAAACACCTCGAAACCCTCCTCCTGCCCGAGCGCGCAGGCTCCTCTCACTCGTAACTGCTAGCCAATGTAGGAAGAAGAGGCTGATTGCTGCAACTTTTAAATCACACCGAGAAAAAGTTCTCAAGGTTTGCTGCTCTAATTTAGTTTTGTTTGAAACATTTTTTGTTTGTTTTGGTTGTTTTTTGGGTTTTGTTGTTGTGTTTTGTTTTTTTTTTTTTGGTTTTTGTTTTTATAAGCTTCTCAGAACAAGGATCTCCCAGGTCCACCACTAAGAATTCAGAGACAAACCTCTTTTTTTAAAAAACGAAACAAAACAAAAAATAAACAACTCAGTGCTCCTTTTGAAAAGGATCTCTTTAAAAACCACCTCGTCACGAAAGACCCGTTCAGAATGTGGGCGACACGATGACACTAAGATTTCAGAGCCAGTGTTGGACAACAAAACCTGCATCTCAGAGTTGAGCATCAGCTGGATCCCGCTGCATTTCTGCTTGGCTTGCTGTCACCGAGTCAGGGACTCTCCCTCCCTCTCCCTCTCTGCATCTCTCTCTCTCTCTCAGATACTCTGCTTCTAAAATGTAAACAGTCACTGCTAAAATATAGTACCCCTTAGAAACGAGAACAACAACTCTGAGATGAGGGTTTTCCTCTCCCCCCCTTTCTGCTCTGAAAAGTAATGCCCTGCTCGCCAAGAGAAGGATGGAATGAAGTGAAACCTGCTTTTTTAAGGCCCTTCTCTCGAGCGTGGGTGACTGGGGGAGCAGGGACTCAGCTGACCACTCATTTTGGGGTGAGTTCCTTCCCAGCGAGGCGCCAGCAGGTCCGTCAGGGCTCTCTCTCCTCTCGGTCGGTCTCCTTGTCTCAGTGAGCTCTAGCAGTGGGCTCTCTCGCGCGCTCCTTTCTCTCTCTCTCTCTCTCTCTCCTCTCCGTTGGTTGGTTTCTTTCTCCTGTTGCTCTCACACAGTGGTGCTTCAGTTTTAGCAGTGGAAAACAGGTATCCATTTTATTTTATTTTTTTTATTACCCAGAATAAAATGCTGATGAACTAAGCTCCACGCAAGCTTAGCTCTTCTTCCTCAACCTGGAAGGGAGGAGACAGAAAAAAGGGGGCTGTGTCAGGGACAGCACTGCTCACACAAACTGCTCAGGAGCCTGAAGGAGGGGGAGGAAGCAGAGGAGGGACCCCCTGAGGTTCTTACACTCTAATACTGTGACAGTCCCGTCACTCCACCATGTTGATATGCACGTTCACCCTGGTAAGTTGAGTCCTGTGACAGCGCCACGTCAATCTGGGATTTAAACTCATCACCAAGGTAACTGTCCTGGAAAGGAAAGGCTGTGTAAACCTCCACGCCACCCCCAGCTGCTCCCCGGGGGCCCAGGTTAAAGTCTGAGGGTTTTTACGATCTGGTTTGGTGCGGAATTTGTGTAAAAAAGGGGGTTGTGGTGGCTCAAAGGTGAGGTCTGGACATGCAGCATTCCCCCTTTATGCCCCAGTGCACTCTGAGAGTCACACAGTGCAGGAGCATGAAATGGTTTCAGTTTCATTTCCCCCCCAGTGCCACAACAAGGATGTGCCTGCACAGACACCCACACGAAGCCCAGGGAAAGGTCAGACTCGACCAGTCCTGCTTACCTGTGATAACTCCGGTTGGGAGAGCCCAGGCTGACTCATCTGTGAAGGCTGACTCATGGAGATATAGCCCTGAGTCAGGGGGCCCTGGGAGAAAGGCTGGGACACCACGTCTTGGCTGGCTTGACTGTTGGGAAGGTTGGACTGGCTCGTCCCAGGAATCCCAAAGCGGTTTTTCTGGCGCCCGCCGCGCCCCGTCTTTCCTTTGGGAGCCCCACGCCCTGCAGGAGGGACCGACCCCAACCAGCAGTGAGAAAGCTCTGCTCAAAAACAGCTTTCCAAGCAAGGCCCCACCCCTCCAGGGGGTGTTCTGCCCCCTCCCACCCCCTGTACCTGCAGCGGGGCCGTTGGCCTGGCCGAAGTAGCCCGGGGGCGGCATCGGGGGCATCACCAGGTTGAAGGGGATGGGAATGTTCATGGCGGTGACGTGGCTGGGGCCAGCGCTGATCATCCCGATCTGGTCGTGGGTTTGGAAGTACATGTTGGATGGGCGCCCTGCAGAGGAGGAGGAGGGGGAGGAGAAGTGATTTCAGGCACCCTGAATATTTTAAAAAATCGATTCACAGCCCTGCTTGTAACAGAGAGGGGAGGACTCAGGAGCAGGATAAGGTAGAAACAGAAAGGACAGGCCAAGGACCACCAGTATTCCTGGTTCCCTGTTTGTTCCACACCTGAAAATTCCACTAGCTCATCTAACACACGTTCACCCCTAGGGCTCCTCTTTCACAGAACCATCTGAGATTCCAGAAATGCTTCACACACGCTCCCCTTTTCCCCTCATTTTTCACTTGCTCTGCAGACATCCAGTTAGACTGGCAAGGGTTCCCCATACAGAGAGCAAAATCCAGGCAGATTGTCAATGTTTTCAGTCCTTACATTCCATATTTCTCTGCAGTGGCTCTTCTAACATTTAAAAGTTTGAAGTGGGTAAAACACCACACCCCAAGGACCATTTGGGGGAGGGAAACACAAAAAAAAAAAAAAAATCAACCTATAAAGGTGGTAATTTTGATAATTTCCTTTACCTTGACTGCTCCTGTCATAGACAGATCCTGGAATAATGGCCTCACGTGCATCATACATGGCAGTGGTCATGAATCGGGCACCCTGCAAGGATGAGGGGAGTCAGACAAAGCCTTTGCCTTGAAAACCCTGCACTGCAACCTCAGGGACCCAGTAAAACCCCACAGATCATGAGTTTGCCAGCACTGAGGAAATGAATTAGTCCCAAGACACCAAAACCCCTCTGGTTATTATTTCAGCTGCAACGAGTAAGATTTCAGAGGCAGCATCTCAAAAAGTGTGAAACATCTGATGAGTTTTCAGTCTATTTTAAGGCTCTGCTGATAGTTTTTCCCCTTGTTCTATTCACAGCACCGTCCTGCCTTGGCTGACAAGCTCCCCCCACCCAGTAACTCCTTATTTTTTGTTAGAGAATCAAGCATAAAACTTGCAGGTTGAGGGTCTGATGCAGTGCTGTGAAGTTCATGTGAGCTGGCCATTTCTAGACAGGGAGTTCATTCACCTCAGAACTTACCCCCTCAGGAAATTCTGCAGTTAAAAAGCTCCCCAAATTCCACCCTGGGGAGAGCTGAAGCAGCTGGGTCCCACCACACCAACCAGGCCCCGGAGAGTTCCAGGGCTGTGCTGGTGACTGTTCACCCCACCCATCTGCCCTTTCTAATTAATCAACAGCCCC